TTGGTGCTCACCCGCCATATTCATCACCATGACAACTGTGTGCCCTTTTGCTATACCGTTAAATGTTTCTGTGAATTTCCATGGTGAGTGGCAGGTGTGTATTGAACGCCACTGACAATGGCATAGGATGTTCTGGGAACAGGATAGGATGATCTCTGGTCAAATATTTGCCGCTTCTATGAACTCACTGTAATTCTTCAAGACTTTTACCAGTTCTTTAATCCATTCACGTATTGTCCTTGGAATCACTTATTAAGGGGTCTTTGTGAACAGAGCAAGGTCATGGAGGCATGATTTTCACAGTACTGGCACAAAAAAAGGCAAGAGACAAGGAATGCATTTCAAAGCATCTGGAAAGGCTGCAGCTTTACCGATTAATTCAGCAGTAGATGGGAGAACTTGTGTGTGTCTCACTCTTGAGCTGGCTCCCCGACCTCTCATTGCTGCTGCCCTCGTCCGCATTTGGCTTTGGGTTTGGTCATACAAGCTGGTACCTCACGGGAGCTGCTCCAGCAGTGATGTACCCATTGCCAGTACCTTTGGTAAGGTCCCTCGTTGGAAGCAGTGATGGGCTGAGTTTGCAATCAGCCAAGTTACCTCTTGCTACAGAGGGGAGGGAAAGGAGGTTGGGGTTAAGATCAAATGGAGAATCCCAGGTTGCTGTTGTCTCCTCTGTGCCTGCCTCATAGATAACCCAAATAATGCTTCAGTTTCCAGGGCTGGCCATCAGTTAACTTCTACTTAACCTTTGCCAGCTCAATGATTAATGTGTCCTGGTATCAGCTGGGATAGAGTTAATTCTTTTCTTAGTAGCTAGAATAGCACTGTGTTTGGGATTTAGTATGGGATTTGGTATGAGAAGAATTTTGTAACATACTGATGTTTTTAGTTGTTGCTAAGAAATCAAAGACTTTTCAATTTCCCATGTTTTGCTAGTGTGCAGGTGCACAAGAAGCGGGGAGGGAGCATAGCTGGAACAATGGGCCCACAACTCTGGGCTTAGGATTTGGGCTTAGGCTCAAATTGGCCAATGGGATATTCCATATCATGCAATGTCATGCTCAGTATATAGATGAAGGTTGGCTGGGAAGCTCTGTCTCTCTTCCGGGATTGTGGTTTCGGGATTTCTCTCCTCCGGGGTCACTAGCCCGGGACGGGCTGGGTGTTGGTCAGCAGGCGGTGAGCAATTGCATTGTGCATCACTCATTCATGTATTCTGTTATTTTTTTATTACTATTTTTATCCTTATTACTTTTAATTTTATTTTATTTCAATTATTAAATTGTTCTTATCTCAACCTGTGAGGCTCCTTCTCTTTACCCCTTTGATTCTCTTCCCCATCCCCCAGGGGTGGGAAGAGACTGAGCAAGCAGCTGCATGGTGTTTGGTTGCTGGCTGGGTTAAACCATGACACAATGTCACCTCTGTTCCCCCTCCTTCCCAAAACAAATACATTAAGAGTAAGCAAAACAGGATCCTGGTCTCAAGAGACAGGATTTGTGTTGCACCGAGCAGTCTTTCACAATCCCATCCGTAAAGGAAATGAAGTCCTACACTGAATCTCCATCACTTTAATGAATTTAGCACTTGCCATGAGACTGGGGCATGGCTCTTTGCTCCTTGAGATGTGCTATGCACACAGTTAATTCAGTTTCTTCTGATTAGCTCCTTTGGGGGTTGTGTCTGTTCCTGGGACATACATTTGGACAGGCCTATGTGTAACCTCTCTGAAAAGGGTCAGGGACAACTGAGATAGCTCATCCAATTTAAGATTTCAAAATAAGCCTCTCCCAATTTGCTGAGGAATGTCAGATTGCATGGAGTGGTTTTCTGTTCTTATTTATAGAGAAAAATAGCCAGTAATAGTTATTAGACATTAATAGAATTAAGTCTCCATGTAAACATATTTAATCCTATTCTGGCTTAGGTTAAGCTACTGTGGAAGTGGATTAAATCCAACCGCATGAAAAAATTCCTAATATGGAAACATTTGGTAACGAGAAACAACTATTACTGCTAGGATTCACATCTCCTTTTTTTTTTCCCAGTTCTTTGTCTGTATAAGAAGATCTTTCTTTTCCTTTACTTGTACGTATTCTAACAATACCAAGTAGACCTGACCAAGACTGGATCCCTGCTGTGCTAGGCGTAGTGCTCCCTTGGTTTAGGGTGGACATCCTGAAGACAGGACAGTCTCCGCAGTCTCCGTGGGGTGACGCAGGGGTGAAACATTTTTGTCGTGGTGACAGAGTAGTTCAGTGGGTGAACGAGGACCAAGACTCTGGTCTCCAAAGTGCTGTAATCTCACTGTGTCAGCTGGGATATGAGGGTCTGCATGGTTATGGATTTCAGAGTGAAAAACAAAATAGCCAACACCTGTGAACACGTCCAGGTTTCATGAGCAAGCCGAGGGGAGGGTGGGTGCAGGACTGTGCGTCAGCCCACCTTTGCTCCCTTGGAAATGCGGCTTCACCAAGGTAGATCAATCCGGAATTCTTGACTCCCAGCTAACCCGTGGATTTCCAAGTCCCTGGGCATTTTTTGTGCTAATTTCGAGTGCAGCAGCTTTGCTTCTTCAAAAGAGCTGCCCATAATCGTTCCAGGGTGTAGCACCTTCCTGTCCCAAGCAGAGAAAAAGGAAAAGATTTATGGAAGAGCTCTGCTGGGCTCCTGCCTGTGTCCTGCAAGAGGCTGAAGGAACCTCTCCTCCTGAGAAGGTGGCAGCAGGCTTTGGGAGTGTGTCTTCTCTTCTGCATGGGCATAAAGTGGGGGAAAACCCCACAGCTGTGAGTGATTACTGAGGCTTTGGTCTTACTTGGTCGGAGGAGATTTGCGCTGCGGATCTGATGGTGTTTGTCACCTGGACCACCCATCCCTGCAGCAGGGACGCGTTCAGCTTTCCCCAGAGCATTGGCCCTGTGCTGCAGCACAGCAGCGCTCGGGCTCAGACCCCCCATGCCAGTGGGCTCGGCTCATCCGAGTGACATCTGGCCAAGTGGTTCTGGGGCGAAGCGTCCGGCAGAGAAAAACAAAGTAATTTTGTGGCTTTCGGAAGGGCCCAATTCAGGAGCGTGAGGTACAGGCAGTGTCAAATTAGCCAAGTCTTGGCTTTTCTGCTACAGAAGGCAGCAGCAGCAGACACGGGCAATTATATTCTGTGCAGGGAGATAACCTCTGACAGAAGTTTTGAACTGAGAGGAGAAAAGGGAGAGATGAAAGAACAAGAGTAGACTGGGAAAAAAAACAAGGAGATGAGGGTAGTTTTCAGTGAAGGGCGAGTGTTTGACGAGGAATCAAAAACTGGTGCTGCGGTCTTTGTTGTTGTCGCCCTGGTCTTTATAAACAGCTGGCAGGACAGGAGTTACCAAAGTTACCTTCACTGCTGCGCTGGACACGGGAGCGCTGCGAGCCCCTGCCAGGCTGCAGGCAGCTGCCAGGGGCTGCCTCCAGCCAACATCTGCCAGGCACGAGCTGGCTGAGGAAGAGGAGGATGCTCAAGCTGTGAAGTCGGGTCATGGCCACAGAGCAGGAAAACATTGAGTAGAGGATGTTTTCCCCACCCCAGATGTTTTCAGGCACCCAGCCATTCTGGCCTGGCACATCACAGGGCAGACCAGCACAGCCAGACGGGGAGACCAGCAGAGGAACCGGCCATCTTCTCTGAGACACACCTTGGGGACACATCCTTTGCAGCTGGTTGCTTTCAGCATTGCATCATCTGCCAGAGGTGCCACGCTGCCTTCCAGGGAAAGAAAGGCACAAACAAAACAACACAACCCACCTTCCAAATCTTCATTTAGAGAGCGTGGCTTCAATTAAATGTAATCACTTAATTTTGAATCAAGGGCAACTTCTCTTGCATTTATTTGCGGTCCCCAGTGGCTTGTCCAAGGGAGTTGCTCCATGAGTTGCTAATGAAGATGAAGGAGAGCTTCCAAATGAGCACGTCGCTGCATCTAGGTCAGAAGAATCAGATGAAAATATCTTCCATGTTTCTCTGTTGCTTTTTTATTTTTTAAACTGGGCTTCTAATAAACATGTTAACTTTCCAAATGATTACAAGCAGCTGCATCTATCAGCAGCACGCGAGGATATATTATTTACTGCGTTTGAAAGCTCTCTAACGAAGCTTTGAAGTCCAGCTCATCCCAGATTCATGCAGGGAAGGAGCTGTGGCCATCGTGGCACTCCTCTGCTGACTTCTGAAGACGTGAGACTTGAAAGCAACTATTTCTTTGCAAATATGGACAGGCACGAGAAGCCTTTTTATAAACAGTAGTTAGACACTGCAATACAGGTACTGAAACAGATACTTCAAAAGCTACATCTGACTGTCACGGGGATTTGTTTCTGTATTACAGGGGCTTTCTTTTACTTTTCTTATCAACACTATCCCTACATAGTCCATATTTGTATTTAATCACGTGCTGCTTTTCACTTTAGTATCGTCATCCAGAGAACCAGAGTTTCCCTATCCTGCCTCAGTCCCACATTCAAACTGGATGAACCTTGAAAAAACCCCAACATTTCAGATGAGTAACATGCATAAAATCAACAGAATGTTTTTTTTTTCTTTGTGAATCCTTCCAAAACTTGAGCCTCAGATTTCTTTTTCTGTAGAGGCCTGAGAGATGCTGCAGGGTGAAATAACTGCAGTGTTAAATGGCATGGCATCATGAAACAGTGGATGTTGCTGGGTTTTGTAATCTCACACCCCTGTTACGGTGCTTCTTGGTGCTTCCAGTACACCCACACATATTAGACATACATACTCTCTAGGAAACGCTCCTGTTGCTGTGTGAAGCCACACAACAAGGCTCATGGGGAACCTAATTGCACCCTCCAGCCACTGTTATAAAACTAGCAAGAAGCAAAGCTAAAAAGTATTGAGCACGTTTGGATTTTTCAGTCCCTGGAAAGGTGTGTGTGTTGAGTTAAACTTACAGCTGTGTAGTCTCCACTGAATTACTGTTTTCTTTTGATCTGTACTAAGGATAGCGATGGAGCAGGTATGAGTGTGAGTAATGGGTAGGTAAGTCTCACGGTATTTGGATTCTGGTTCACTTTCTTTCTTCTCTTTATTCAGTTTCTTTCCTTCTGTTGGTGTTGGGATATTTTTAATTCTTCAAAGCTCTATCTTCTGCATCAAAAATAAAGGTGAAAGTCACTTTTAATCCATACTTTTAAAAAAGTGTGTGTGTCTACCCCATCTATGCAGTGACATGTATCTGTGATTATTATGCTTTAATCAGGTCCATTTAAATTCACTATAAGAAATTTGGAAGGAGACATGGCTGTTCTCTCAGTGGGGCCATGATGTTTCCTCATCTCCCAGTACCGTTTGCCCTATGTGATGTCTTTTGGGTACCGACTTTCTTGTGGTTATGTCCCCCATAGATCATCTTCCGGAAGATCAGCGATGTCAAGAAGGAAGAAGAGGAGCGCCTGCGCCAGAAGAACGAGGTGACGCTGAGCATCCCAGTGGACCACCCCGTGCGGAAACTCTTCCAGAAATTCAAACAGCAAAAGGAGATGCGTAACCAAGGCTCAACCCACATCGATCCAGAACGGAACCAGCTTCAGGTGGAAAGCCGGAGCGTGCAGAACGGGGCCTCCATCACAGGTACCAGCGTGGTCACCGTGTCTCAGATCACCCCTATCCAGACGTCCCTGGCTTACATGAAAACCAGTGAGGCTGTGAAGCAGAACAACAGAGATGCGATGGAGCTCAAGCCAAATGGAAATGGAGACCAAAAATGTCTGAAAGTAAACAGTCCTATGCGGATGAAAAACGGGAATGGGAAAGGGTGGCTTCGCCTGAAGAACACAATGGGAACCCATGAGGAGAAGAAGGAGGATTGGAACAACGTCACAAAGGCTGAGTCCATGGGGTTGCTGTCGGACGACCCCAAGTGCAATGACTCAGAGAACGGTGTAAATAAAAACCCACTGAGGAAAACAGACTCTTGTGACAGTGGAATAACAAAAAGTGACCTTCGCTTGGATAAAGCTGGTGAGACTCGCAGTCCCCTGGAGCACAGCCCCATTCAGGCTGATGCTAGGCATCCTTTCTACCCTATTCCTGAGCAGGCCTTACAAACCACTCTGCAGGAAGTCAAGCATGAACTCAAAGAAGATATCCAGCTGCTAAGCAGTAGGATGGCTGCCCTTGAAAAGCAGGTGGCAGAAATTTTAAAAATATTGTCTGAAAAGAACGTACCCCAGATCTCTTCCCCCACATCTCACTTATCACCCCAGCGGCCCTCCCAGATACCCTGTCAGGATATTTTTAGTGTTTCAAGGCCTGCATCACCTGAATCAGAAAAAGATGAAATCCACTTTTAGCATATACCTATGTGTATATATGTATACAGTATATATGCAGAGGTGTATATATACCTTTATACATATATATGTGTGTGTGTATACAGTAAATATATATACATATATATTTTCACTTGCATCCAATATGACTTGAACACACCAAGGATTTTGATATGTAAATATTGCATGTCCAGCTGGATTCTGGCCTGCCAAAGAAAACAATTATTAACATAGATATTGCTTGTATAATATGCAGTTGACTGCATGCACACTTTACATTTATTTATAATCTCTATGATGTAATAAAAGAATGACTTTTGTTTAACAAAGGCAATGTACTATTTAAAGAATCAGGGTCTAACCTGCGAATATTGCCATGACAGTTTTGATCTCAGGCTGGGTGAATTGAGCTTTTGTTTCCTCCCTCTTTCCTGCCGAGTTAAACAGTAGATTAACGTGACCACATGGAGGACACGTCCAGATTCCAATTAGTATTGTTTCCTGGTATCATTCCATTACAATATACTGTATATTTGGTGATGAATTCCCCTCCTTCTCCTAAAGGGAGGGCTCGGGTCAGTGACCAGGGAAGGGCACCGTGTCCGGTGCTGGGGTGGATCACTGGAATTTATTCGTGTGGGTATTGTGCATGCACAGCCTTTTGTTTCAAGTATTCTCCTGCTCTTTTAACATCGTAAGTAAGAAATAATAACGGTGATTTATGTAATGAAACTAACAGAAACTCTCTCAGCTGCAGTCCCTGTGTGTTTGGGGGTAACTTCTTTCTTGAAAGCCTCCTTTTACAGATGCCATTGTTACTGAACTGTTAAAGTAACATTATGTAGATTCTCTTTGCAGCACTCAGCGACGGTGTCTGGTTCTGTCAGTATCTTCATTAGGATGTCCCGTTTTTGCAGGGTTGAGGTTGCTCTCCCGCTGTCCCCCGCCTTGCCCCTGGCAGAAAGACTTTGCACGAGGTCTGAGCAAGGGAGAGAACAATTGTAGTTCAGCTCCTCGGGAGCCATGTGAGCAGGTTTGAAAGCCTGAAGTTAAAAGGCTGCAGTTAATCACCCTCCACTCTCTTTTCTGAAGACATTTATCAGTCTGCAACTGCCTTTGAGACAGAGAGAAAATAACCAGTCAGGATGAAATTCCCTTTAGTCCAAGGCACCTGGATGATAATGTTTGGGTGGGAGAGTGGCGGGGGTGTTGGGAGATGAAGTCCTCCATAGGGTGCTGCCCACTGCTCTTGTCTTGGAATTGTGGAAGGTTTCAGTGCATGGGGAGGGGCACACCAGGAGCAGGCTTGCAGCGCCCACACAGCCTGTTATGTATACTAAGGCCCTTAGGTCTTTGTCAGGTGCTCTCACCCTCCTCTTAGCTGACTTCCATCATCATGTCCCAGTCTTGAACCATGCTCAGACCCCATCTCCACCACCTAGGCTGGAGCATCATCCTCCACGCGGCGCTGCTGGCTTCGCAGGGCTACATCAGGGCAGGCTCTTGCACTGCATCGTGTTCTTTCTCGTTTGGAGCTCAGATTTTGGACCCTGCCTCGGTCTGCACCTAAGCATGGTGGGGTTTTTTGCCTCTCTGTTTGCACTGGTTGAGAATCCAGCCACATGCGATGCACAGCAGAAATGGCCATCACAGCTTCAGAGCTGTTAACTGGTACAGCTTGAGGTCAGCCCAGCAGGGTGCAATGGCTCCTTCAGGGAAGGATTTCCCCACCACACTTAGATGGCCTCTTGCATCAAGATCTCATGTTTTCAGAAGTGCCTGTAGTAAAACACGTGGCGCTTAGGGACATGGTTTAGTGATGGACTTGGCAGTGTTAGGTTAGTGGTTGGACTTGATTTTACAATTCTATGATTCTGTGTACCACAAGGCATCACTATCAATCAGGTAAATACATATTTATAATTAGTGGGCATCCTTACCAAACACCAATACCAGATGCATTACCTAACATTAGGAAACTGAACTAAACTAAATCGCTTCCTGAAAAACTGAAAAAAAACAAAAACAAAAACAAAAACAAAACAAATCATCATTTACAGTAGTGGCAATTAGGAACCTGCATCTTAGGTTGAATGTATGGTCTGCTGTGAAATCCAAACCCATAAACTCCAAAAAGTTTGTAAGAAAGCCGAAGAAGTCATCGCTTTTTTTCTGTCAATTCACAGAGGCTTTTTGGGACATGGTGGTCTTCCTCATTTGCTTTTTCTTTCAGGCCTATTTCTGCCCCTTCTCCAGTTCCTTTCTTTAGGAAGAATAAAAAGCCACCGAAAGGGACAACTCTTCCCAAAGTTTGGTGGTTAGACTGCCTGCTCATTACAGTTTTCCACAGCTGCGGTTGCCACTGTTGAAACTTGCAGCAGCTGTATTTTGCAGCTATTGTTCTGACAGGAGTGCAAATCTGTAGCTCTGCAACCATTCTTTGGTTTGCAAGGACAAACTGCACTTGTGAAACAGCAGAACCTTCAAGGTCCTTCTCTAAATCCAACCCTGGGACTCTGAAGGGGTCCAGGGGCCATAGGGTTAGGGAGTTACGGGGTTGCTGCAAGCTTCAGGAGTATGTACAGACCTTGTGGGTACAACTTAAGTGCCAAGCTTTGAAGAGATGACTGTTCCTGCCTGACTTGGGTCGCTGGTTAAGACAGACACACAGCAACTGCCCGGAGCTGCCCAGCGAATAGCTGAGTCACGCAGGCTGTCTGGGGGCAGATTTTGGTAAAGTTCCTTGAATGCATGAATATGCCGTGATGTGATGCTGCAAAAGAGCCATCAGGGTAACGGGGGTGACTTTGTTAGAAAGCTTTAGCCTTAATGGCATTCCTCTGCCTTTGTGAGGGACCTCTTTTCTTTCTCTGTAACTGATACCAATCCTAGATAGGAGTGCATGGCATGCAAAGGAGCCTCTATTTAGGTTTATCTTGCAAATCAGGTGTAACTTTGTGCCACTTTACAAGGAGAGAACATGTAACAGGATTAATCTGACCTTGAAAATTATTCAAGCCCAGAATGTCTCTTACAGTTCAAGTGCAACTCGACTGGTTAAAACGTATAGTGGCTAAAAGCTATAAATAGTGTAAAATACCAAGTTCAGGAAACAAATACAGTGTTTCCAGGTCCACTTCTCCAACCCGCTTGTACCTCGTACGAGGCGGGAGCGCGATGGGTGTCTTGCAAACAGGATAAATACCACCTGCAGATGGGCTATCCCAGGCCCTGTGTGCCGGGGGTGCAGCCGGACACCAAATTTGTGGGATTGACTCTGGCAGCTGTCACTCTGAAAAATTGGCTTGTACAGTTCTGAAGCAATTTGCCTCCCAAATTTCTTGATCGAAGCGTTCGGGTGTTGTTTCATGGAGTTGTTACCAGGGCACTGGTTCAGCTTTCCCGTCCCCTCGCGGCTGCGCGTGATGCGATCGAGCGTGCTGCCAGCTGGGGCGTTCCTTTTCTGCTAAAGAAGCTTGAGTCGTAGCCTCATAGTTCAGGCTTGACCAAAAGCAACCACCTGTAGTCATTAAGTGCAATAAGGACACAAATGTGTCTCTTCCACCCAAGCTGGTGCTCCAGCAGCTACATGTCGTGCGGAGGGAGCTCTCGGCTGCATGCTCTCCTTTCCGGTTAAGAGCTGTATGCCTGGGTAGATGTTCCAGCCACGTGCTGGCAACAGCGTTCTTAGCACTTACCTTGTGCTTTGTGTGTTCAAAGCATTTTCGCTGCATACAAGTGGATTTTATCTTTCTGGACTTTGGAATAGAAATAAAATGTGTACAGAAAAGTAAACACTTTCCAAAGCAAATGAACTAGAGACCCTTTAATAGCTTTTTTGTGTAATATTACGTATACGAGATAGAACAGCACTTCAGGATAATAACTGAAAAAAAAATAGTTGTTGTAGTGAAGATTCAGTTCTTCTGAATTTGTATTTGTAAATCCTTTTTTCCATCTTTCTGTCTTTGCCAGGGGATAGGGGTTAGAGCAGAGCTGACTCTGGAAGTGACAAACTTCAGCTTTGCCCGTTTTTCTTTTTCCTGTTGTGGAGAAGTAGCACAACTATAGGGACCCATTGCTGCTGGCACTGAAGTTCGGGCTCGTTGCTAGATTCAAATTCAGGCTTCATTTACCACCACGTTATACAGGTGTGAACTGAAAGTTGAATCTGATCATCATATTGGAGCTTAAAGTGTATTTGGGATCCCAGGACAATTTTAGAGAACTGGCAGCTGTTGCAATAACGTTCTATTTGCAAGCCGTGAGTAGTCACTCTGGAAGTAACTGAGACCGTTATAGAGACATCATCGTTTACATGGGTCAGAAAACAGATGTTGTGCCCATGAGATAGCTTGGAGGCTTTTTGGGGAAAAAGACATCCTGAACTGGAAGGGAAAATAAAAAGCCAAAGACTTAATATCGAATTTGGGAGTGACGAGGTGGAAAGATATATTATAATGAATTGACACTTTTTTACTTAGATTTTCAGGATTTAGAAGACCCAAACCTATCTTTTTGGATGTCAGAATTGGACAGGTTGTTTGTTAAAATAACTATTTTTTTCCTAAGTGAGGTGGCATCAAAGTGATACCTGATTTAAAAAAAAAAAAAGTGTTCAAATACCATTTTCCTACAGAAAAGGATTTTAACAGGTTTTGTTACCTTTGTTTTTAATAGGCTATATCTAAAGGCTTTTTTTTTTTTCAGTTCTTTTTTTTTGTACCAGAAGCTGCTCTGTTAACACATATCTTCAGGTCTATAAGATCTATATTGCTTTATCATCTTGCTGCTAACATACTTGTTAGAGGAGGTTTGAGAAGTGGGATTCTTTTGGAGAAAGGCACCTCTCCATGGCAGCGTGGGCTCTGTGACTCTCTTGTCCTGAGCTGCAATGAAAGCTGGGAGCACTAAACAGCAGTAGTTTGCGTTTTCCTTGGCATTTCTGGATCTGCACTGATTTCTTTCAGGGAATCGAAGGAAGGAAATAGAAAAGCTGACACTGCCATTTTTCCTGGATG